CAAAAACCTTCAGCGCTGCCCCAGCTTTCAAGATCCTCCTGACTGTTTTTTTTTTAAAGCAAAACCTTAAAAATGGTCAAAACACTCCCAGAAAGCGTCATTCCTCCAGAAGTTGTTAGGAGCTGTGCTCCTCCTTGTTTTAATTAAAATAGGTGTTTAGGAAAACCAGAAGTCACCTTTGTGGATGCTTCTGGTTTTGTGAGAAGGGGTTATTTGCCCTAATGGTTTGAAAATGGGGTGGCCATCTAACTTTGTATATAAAGAGACAACCTGTTAGGAAGGGTACAGTTAGGAAGGCATGGAGCTTTGAGTGTACTTTGCACGATTTCTTCACAAATTTAAATCAATAAGATGTTGTTGTGTTGTTGTTGTTGTTGTTGTGGTGATGATGATGATGATGATGATGATGATGATGATGATGATGATGATGATGATGATGATGAAATACCAGGCACTGTCAGTCAAAATTGCATAATAGATACAATTTTTAACCAAAAACCTATATATCTTTTGCATATCAATGTAGTATATGCGCTGTTCCTAATATTGCCCCTTTTGTAGCTCTGTTGATGTAATTTCTGGTGGTGGTTGTTGTGGTTATGGTTATGTGGTCACAGATCCACATTGCACAAATCATGGTCTTTCATGTCGTTCCTCTTGCCATTTGTCTCTGTCTCCCTGCCTTCTTACTCCCTGCCCTCTTCCTCTGATCCAGCAATAACAGTGATACCATCAGGATTCATTGGAGGTTTAGGTGTAGCTGAAAATGTTGTGAACATCCAGATTAGAAAAGCAGAGAATGGTTAAGAAAAGGATCAGTCTATGTAGACTCTTCGCCGATGATTTTTGTTAGAATCATAGTTTCAATTTAGTGGGGTCCTTCATATGCAAATTGGTTTAGGGTTGGAGGGTTCAGTTTTATGCAGTGAAATTCCCAGCCGAGTTCTTATCCTGAGAGGTGACAGAGCTTTAAAAAAGCAGTAACTGGGTTGAAGAAAAAGTGTTAAGTGGTCGTGTGTTCAGGGCAAGTGCTGTGCCTTTACAGTTCTTGCTGTATTGCCCACAGGTTAGCTGTGGTGAGCTTGAAAATGGCTAACTCAGCTCTTTACTATGAAAGAGCATTGAATTATTTTGACAGCTCTGGTCTTTTATTTTGGATATCATTTTTCAGACATGATGGCAAATTAAATACTTTCTGTATTTAATATACAAGTTGTTCCTGAAACAAAACAGACAAAACCAAAATGAAAAAGAAACACTTTTCTCTCCCCTTTCCCCCATTTGATTAATTAAAACCCTTTGCCTTTGTAGACTGAAAAACGAAACACAGTTAAATACATGCCAGAAGTCTAAATTTCTAAATCCCTTTGATCAGGAAAATCTGATGGCCATCTACACGTTGGGACTACAACTGAAATCATTGGCTATATTTGCCTGGGAGCTGAGAGTCCAAAGATATTGGGAGGGCCACCAATTCCTTATCCCTACTTTTGATACAGAAAATAATATGATATACGTATAGTCATCACCACCTACAGTTCTGAAATACATTGCTGGTTGATACTGCTTTTCCACTTTAATGTTGGATTATTCTTCAGTGCAGCTCTGTTGACCTTGCTTTGAATGTTGTCTTCTATAATGAAACCTGTGTCCCTCCTTCCCACAACTCTGAAATGGCATTCCATGTCTGGCCAGTTACATGGAAGGGCTACAGTTTATTAGAGAAGAGTGAAAAAGAGAGACTTGACACTTGAAGGTTCTTATTTACAATATATTCCTTAATTCAGTCAAACATTATTGTAGAACTTGATCAGTTCCCTGTCTGAAAACATTTTTTTTTGTTTATGCAACATTTTCATTAAAATAGCAGTGTGTTCTGGTAGGACTTCTTTGTGGTCTCTCTGACTCACACAGCTGGGTCCTGTACCTGCATAGAATAGTTGTACTGGGTGTGCATGGTACACTCTCTGATTTTTAAGTATCGAGGTGCTTTGGTGAACAACCCAAAAAACCCCGCGATCTCTCTTTTCGTATGCTTTTGTGTTAAAACAATTAGTATGTGCATATCAAATCAAGATGTACATGTCTTGTTATGACTGCCTTGTGATTTGAGAAATAAGTGTTCCCGTACTGTCTTCTCCTTGTCTTCCAGCAGAAGTCCTCTCCATCTTTTTTTTTCTTTTTAACCAACTTGTCAGCCCAACGAGAGGAAACTGCTCTTTTTTCTCTCTTTCTGTCAAGTTAATCATCCATGAACAAAGATAGAAGGCACGGGCTTCATAAGGCTTGCTCTCTTAAGAAGGGCGACTTCTGGAGAATTCATAAGAGAGCTGACACTTAAGAGGGGTACCCAGGAAAGGCTGGAGGGAGAAGACCAGGGTAGACACTGTTAGAGATTTACCTTGAAGATTACATAAGACAAACTTTCCCCACTTTTTTTGCCACTAAACCAGTGGATATAATCCAAAGGGAATGCGAGTTTTTTAACTAGTTCTGTTCTTTGAGGCTTGGATTGAGAAACCTATGAGAGATTCCGGAAAGCTGAAATTAAACATCTTCAAGATCCTAATCACATGTTTGCCCATTTCTCCATATTCCCATCAGTATAGCCAGAAATGACACCATCCTGGATCGATGCCAGCTTACATTTTGCCCACCCAACATTTCATGGCGAAATCCGTATAGATCTGGCCTTTTGTGTATACTTTCAATTCTGCTGTTGTGATGTCAAGTTCAGAACCAGTTTTCTGGGCGCTGCTATATATGTGTGAGGGTGGGGAATTTTTGTTACAGTGACTCACATTTTATGTGAATCTCGCAAAAGTTGGCTGTTTTTTATTATGTTGACAGTTTCCCGTTGTAACAGCTACAATCTGAATGGCACAACTAATCTTGGCAACAGAAAATTTTGTAAAGCAAAATGATCTGAGCATAAAATGCTCTTTATGCCAAATAAAAATGAAAATCAGTCCCTTTTATTATCAACTTCTGTCTTGCATCCTCTCTTTTCCAAAGAAAATTAAAAAGTAAAGTTTTTCTTAACTATAAAACTGAGCCATAGCTGGAAACTGCAATACTTCTTAATCTGTGAATGTCTTCATGCTTTTCTATTTTGAAGGTTAGACGGTATTTTCTTTAAATGAGATATAGCTCCTTGTTAAATAACATTTCACCACCTAGAATATTACAGTAGCATTCCATCACTGTCAGTTACTGTTACCAAAGTGTCTTCCATTAAGATCCTGGAAATTCCTTACCACATGAAAACGCCATGATCATGTGTGAATGAGGCCAACAGACATACAGAGAGATTTGTCTTTCAATTAATTAAACAAATAATTCATCCAGGTTTCTTTTCGGATGACACTAAAAAGTAGACCATTGTAATCAGACTTTATTTTACTCACAGGCACACGTTTGCATATGAACATGCTATTTTTGCATGCTTTGTTTTGATTCTTCCCTTTTGCTTACATTTTCATGTATTAATCTATTTTGTAGCTTATTAGCATTCTCTTTTATTTCCTTTTAGTGCTGGGGACATTCCCATTTCATTTATTTATTACAGTTCCCCCCTGGTCAATTTGGTTTTCAGTCTGTAGGCAATTGAAGTGAGGCCAGCAATTTAAGTACGAAGAGAAGAGATAAAACCCATCAAAACCTTCTGGCTCTCCACATAACCAAATTCTTTGATTTCATGCCCTTTGAAGTTTCTTTTTCTAAAAGCAAGCATGCTTAAGCTTCATGCACACTGCGCTCTTAACATGTTGGGAAAGAGGTTTGGGAGATGGGTGGGGTGTATGTGCATTTCTGGAGGCCATTGATCCTCCTCCCTACATTGTTTGCCCTTTTGGTTTTGAAACAGATTGCTAGCCTAGCGCCTGGGTGTTGCTCAAGTAGAATCGGAAGGGGCCGAACTTTAGATAAATCATTTACACCAAGCACTTGGTATGCTGGCTACATAAATCAACAACAGTATCCATTACCATTCATTCCCCCCCCCACACACACACACACTTTTTTCTTCTTCTTTTTAAATCAGTATTATCTTGATACAACTGATCCTAACACATGGGCATGCTGAACCCTGCCTTTGGAAGTCTAGCCCCTTGTCATTAATTATTCCGGGCACACAGAACTTGGCCCTGGCTATGCGGAATAATTGCTCTCAGCCTACATCCAGGGTTTTAACTCCAGTGGCAATAATAAATAGAAAGTCTCAGGTGATGCCACTATTTTAAAGTAATTAATCATCTCCTCTCCTCTTTCGTTCTCGTTCCCTCCCTCCCCTCAAATGTTCTTTCTTCCATGTTGATTCCCCCCCCAACACAACTAGGGAGATTCAGTAATACATCTTTAATGATATATGTTAAGCATGATCTGTGAATTAAACCTTCTTGTGTTCTCAAGGTTTTTTTAAAAAACACTATTAAGGCTTTGGTGAACTTAAAATGTGCATAAAATGGATGTCTGTTTTATAGGCAGCTGAGGCCCAGCAGTGGAATTCCTGAAAGATCATTGCTTTTTTTTTAATGTCATGTAGTGTATGTGCTAATAGAGATTGTTAATTAACACCAGTGGGGCTGTCAAAAAATAAATTCTCCGAAAGGGGTGGTGGTATTAGAGAGGCCTCCACTACCACCACCTCCAACACGGAACATGGCAGCTATTTTTAATGTAAGCTGCTTGTCTTGGGTGAATGAAAATATAAATGCTTTGGTTACAGCACCAAAGTGTTTTGCTTGGACAGTTATCCTGGCTGTCCGCGCAACTGTTAGTGCTTTTGTATTGTTGTGCTGTTTTAAAAGGGGGAGGTGGATGTTCTGCCCTACCGAGAGATGATGTTTCTCTAAATAATTCTCGTTAGACCTGACCAGCCGTGACGTCTATTCAGTGTGACAGGGACAGATGTGACAGATCGGTTCTGACACACTTCCATAGCACAAGTCAGTGGCTTGAGGTGACTCATGTCCTTCCTTTGATTCTGCCCCCTGCTGCAGGACAACACAACGATGCACGAATGAACCTTGCCATTGCCCTCACTGCTGCCAGGTATGGTGCTGCCATAGCCAATTATACTGAAGTGCTGCATTTGCTGAAGAAGACAGATCCCAATAGCGGGAAGAGTCGTCTCTATGGAGCAAGGTGCAGGGATGTTCTAACAGGTATGGAGGGCTTGTTCACTGTGCTATTTAAAAAGCTCTTTGCCTCTCTTTACCTTACATAGAAGTGGTACAGACATGCACATATGACACCCGCGTTAGTTGTGCTTCCTTTTCCCACTCATGGTGTTTCTGATGCATCACATTCTGTTGTATGGAGGAACCTGAAATTCCATAGCCACCTCCATCATATTTGTGTACATGGAGCACACTGTTGCTGAACTGCAGTAAAGCACAGCTGTCTACAAACACATTTTGCTCTTGTTAAAGAAATGGATTCCACCACCATCACATACACACCCCTCCCTAAATGGAGGTGGGGGATGGAAGAGTGCAATGAGAGGCTGGAGTTTGTAAATATCACTTAACTGACAAAGGAGGCATATTTCCAAAGTGCAGTGGCATGTCATTAATGCCAATCATCTTTAACTTCTGTCAGGTTTTCATTCAAATCCTAGTGCTTTGGCAAGCTAAGCCATGCTTTACATCCAAGCCCTTCTGTCAAGCAAAGCTGACGTTGTAAAATACCGTGTGGTGTACATTCAGTAATAGTACCATTTAACAAATTTCAGGGTTTAAAAACATCATTAAATAAAATGAAATTTATATGTTATGGAGGAGCTGCCGGGGAGGCTCTGTGTATTTTCATCCTTAAAGTTAAAAAGAATTGATCTATACATGCTTTATCTCTTTTATTCTCTTTCTCTCAGCCAGTTATTACTAATTTTTGTAAAAAATCCAGCTGTTTAGTTCTTTTAGCGTGCCTTATGTGCGAGTGTGCATGCACACACTTCACAATAGGTTAACTTCATAGATAAATTAATAATCCAGAGAGTCAGTGAACAGGGAAACAAATGGAGTATGTGATTGATGCTGTTTTCTTTCACAGGGCAGGAATTTGATGTCAAAGCCAAATGTGTTATCAATGCTACAGGACCTTTCACAGACTCTGTGAGGAAAATGGATGAGCAGGAAGTGCCGAACATCTGTCAGCCAAGCGCAGGCGTTCATATTGTGATGCCTGGCTATTACAGGTAATGATAGTCAAAACCTAGATTGTGTAGAACAATTTTAAAGATGTGTGCCTAACCAACAAAAAAAGATTTGAGGGACTGAGAGAATGAAAGAAAGAGAGGAGAGAGATCTACTGGGTCAGCAAAGCAGTTGAATGTAAGCTACTGTTTTCCACACCCCCATAGGAAAACAGTTTTGTGTGAGTCAAATAAAAATAAAAATGAACTCATTCCTCTTATCCCAGGGAGGGGGAGCATGGCTGGAACATGTGGTGCTCAAAGGATATGGATGATTCAAAATATCCCCGTGCATCAACACAGTACCTGCCAGTGGAATGTTTCTAAACAAAGATGGGCTGAGTGTTGATATGAATGTAGAGAGAAGGTGCGTTTGTGTAAAGTCTCTTGAATATGGTAGGTCTCTCTGTGTGTGATCTCTGAGAGAAATTATCTTTTGAAGAAAACAGGGTGAGCAACTTTATTTTAATCAGACATTGGAGTTTGACCAACAGGTTCAAAAATTTTTTGCCATCAATCAGAATGTGCTATATAGTGCTCAGTATCACTAATAATGGGTTGTTTTCAAAGGCACACCTTCCACATGTGTACTTCGTGTGAAAGGACTGTTTTATGCCTTGTGCTAAGCCACTTCTAAATTGTTGTGGAGAAAAAGTAAAACAAACTGAAATATGTTCTTGTCATGACATAAGTTGTGTTAGACATTTGTGCAACCTCTTGTCCAAGAACATGAGATTTACAGTAGAACTTGCTGCTATAGTACTGCATGAGCACACATCTAACTGAAAGGGAATACATGAAATACACATAAGCCCTACTCAGTTGTTAGATTTCCTGATTTCACCAAAAGTATTAGAGGGGCACCCATTGCCACTCCTTTACTCTTATTCACATAATAATAGAAGCATCTGAGGAGAACGTGCTTGCTTCTGTCTAGAGCCCACATGCAGACAAAAACCTCTCCTCTTCAAATTCTTTTGTCATCACATGAACAAAATGATGATAAAAAGAGTGGAACTGGAGAGCTTAGGCCACAATTCCATGTTGAAATAATCCTGTTTTTGAGTCAGGTTTGTCATGATTGAAATTGAATTAAATATCTCCAACTACATAACGTACAGCTAAGTGTGTGGATTTTTTGGCTGGGAAGCAGGTATTTTTAAATGCCCACTTGGGGGTACTTTATTTTAAATAAATTCTGGTCATGCCTTAATTACTACGTTTGCCATGTGTGATTGCCTGTGTAAATAGTGCCTGTGAGGTCTGTGGGGTTTACTAAGTACAAGGGGTTTTGGATTGTAGAATACCCTGCAGTCCAAACTCTTCCTCCCTCCCCCCCATCAGTTTCTATTTCATCGCTTTTTCAGTACAGTATAGCACTATGCTAGTTCAAAATAGTACAAAAAATTAAGTATTAAAAATGAATTTACCAGATACAGCAATTCTTAAAGGACAGAGAAAATGGCAGTTGAAGAAGTTGTGGGCTGTGTTATAGGTAGCTGATGGTGACTTGCAGAACAAAAGCTGCTGAATCTGGTGTCAGCTGTCTCGAGAACAAGGTGAAGAATTAAGTTCCTTGTTCAAAGCAAAAACCAGGAAAACAGGACCCAGAATGCCAAAGTGCCAGTGTACCACATCGCTTACTGTCAGACTAAAAGTTGTTCCCTTTGTTCACACACCAACACAAAAACCATATGTTATTTTATTTTTATTTATTTTATTTAAAATATTGCTGCCCTGCCTTTCTCCTTAAAAGGATTAAATTAAATCCTTTCTGATCAATTTAAAGAAACCTGATGCTGCTCCCAGTTTAATTCAGCATCGTAGTCAGCCTGGCAAAAACACACTTACCTTGACTGAGCACGCCATTCAGCTGTTGAATTGCTGCTCTGGTGGAGTTCTTGATTTGAGCAGGATTTGGTTTCCAGCTCTGTTTGTTGCTGTCATTGTTTTAGTATCACCTCGGTTCCATAATATTAGGAAATCAGAATGAATAGGGCCAGCCTTTTAAAGATCCCGTCTGAAAAATTACTTTTTCTCCTTTCCATAAAACAGCAGAGTTCTAGGACAAGAGTACATTTGTTATGCTCTCTATTTGTTTGAACTGAACAACTGGGGCACTTACTCTCAGTTATTAGCATGCTTGCCAGAGCTGCTGCCTACACCTTCTGCCTATTGCAATGAATGAAATAAGTTCAGTCAAAAGCATTAAACAAATTTTTTTTTTTTTTTTGCTATGTTGCCAAGCAAGATCTTGGGAGTAGCTAATATTCATCATACTGGAATAGAACATCTCCAGTCTTAAAGGGAACACAAGTTTCCGGGGGGGGGGGCGGAGGCATCTGATTATTTACTTTATAATAAACTGAGTGTCAGCCTCCACCTTTGCCCTATTCCTTGGCATCTTTTAGCATTCACATTACTTCCTTTCAAAAGCAATAACTTTCTACATATATCATTCACAGTGCTGCTGAGTGAAGGCAACATTGATTTCATCCTAAAGATAAGGCCAGGAATTTGTCTATATAATGAATATGTGCCTCACTGATATTTTAAATGTATGTATTAATTTAGTGACAAGTTTTGGCCCCTGGTGCCAATTGAATTCTGTTTAGCAGAAAATGTGTGTCATTTCATTACAACTACTTGTCTCTTTGGGAAAGTACTTTGACATCATCTTGGGAAAATGGTAAATAGTTTAAAGCCTTTTTATGTGTAAATGTAGATAAGATTTAATTAATTTAATGTTAATACACTGCAAGAGTTTCCCGGTGGGTTCTTACATTTTTATATTCTTCATTAATAATCCCCATGTTCCCTCTCCTCTCATTAATTCTGTTCTTCCAATACAGGTCCACACTTAAGTAGCTGTTGCATGACTTCCTTACACCCATGATGCTATTACTGTGACTGTAATCCCTTATACATTTCAGTCCTTAATCCAATCAATGTTGCTTTCCGATTGCTAGCTGCAGCATTCATTGTGGTGCTGCTTCTTGAAATGGTGTAAAAACAGATGCTCAGTTCAAAGAACCTGTGCTGGTAGAGTTTTCCCCAAGCAGTGGGAAGGGCATGGAATTACCTCTTGATTCACTAATCAGACAGGAGCTTGAAATGTATTCTAAGGATCAAAAAAAATTTAAAAGAGGGTCACTGCCTCTCTGAGTGGTTTTGGCTTGTAGCATCATCTGTCTGACAGTAAACACATTCAAAATGGGATCTTACGGGGTAGATCTTCTCCTGGCTAGTGTCAGACCAATCTTATGATTCTGACCTGCCTTGTCTCTAGTGGTCCCATGTCAGCACTTAACTAGATTCACAATCAGGAACTGTGTGAGAGTGTCAAATAATAACTACATAATCTTGGAACTGAAAGCCAGAGTGGTGTATTGGATAGTGCCAGATCAGGACCAAGGAGACCTGCGTTCAACTCACCTCTTGAACATGGAAACTCTTTAGGGTGGTGTGGTGGTAATGGTAAGCCACTCTTGGAACATCTCAGTAAAAAAATCTGACCCTTAGAATGCATTTCAAAAACCTTAAGGAAGTCACTGTAAGTCGGAAGCAATTTGTTCGATTGTAACAACAATTGTAGAATTATTGCATTTCAGTGTGGATTCTGATGTTGGTTTCTTCTCTCAGGATGTTCAAAAAGCAGTAAGCTATATAACTGCTAAGGACTTTTCATTATTTTTTCTTCAAGCAGCAAAACATCAAGCTGCTTTTGAAATGTAGATATCAGGCACAACCTTTGTTAAATGTAGTGCCGAAAAATCCTGCTGGGTGCACCCAAACCCCCCACATACATCTTGCATCCCTGGTTACTTGAAGAAGGCCTCTTAATTATGGCCTGTGGAATGACTTCTTTATGCTGTTCAGTTCTTGACTCCAAATTTTCTGGAAGCCAGGGGATTTAAGAAATAGTATTTAACCCAGATCATGACAGAACACTACCATCAACCAAAAAACTACATTTTCTGGCATGACTAAAGAGAATGACAATTTCTGGCCATATGTCTATTCCAGGCATTAGAGTTTTACTGAGTGTTTTTGAAGAGCTACTCATGTTAAGTCTTGGCTAGCATATCAGGCAAAAACAAAAGAAAAATAAAAACTGAAGAAGACAAAAATGTTGTGGCACCTTAAAAAACTCTAGTGTGATATACAGTGGTGCCTCGCTTAGCGACGTTAATCCATGCAGGGAAAAACGTTGCTGAGCGATTTCATCACTAAACGGAATTAAAAAGCCCATAGAAATGCATTAAAACACCATTAATGCGTTCCTGTGGGCTTCAAAACTAACCTTAAGCGAAAATCCTCCATAGGGGCAGCCATTTTCGATGCCTCTAAAGCGAGGACACACAGCGGGTGGCCATTTTGTTTACCCGGCGGCCATTTTGAAACCGCTGATCAGGTGGCCGAAAATGGGGGCTTTGCGATGATCGCTTCCCCGCGATCATCGCAAAGCGAATTTTCCCCATAGGGACCATCGCTAAGTGATCGCTTTTGTGATCGCTTAAATTCCGTCGCTAAGCGATTTCGTCGCTCAACGGAGCGATCGCTGAGCGAGGCACCACTGTACTGTGCTAAGCAATAAGATTTTTTCATCTGTCTCTAGAAGTTTAATAAAACAGACAAACCTTGCAGGGGTTTATTGTGATATATGCGAAACTCTTTAAATGCATGAAGCACTGTATAAATGCAAGTATTGTTACTATTACTCCATCTAGATTCTAGGATTTTGACACCTATTTGACACCTTAATTCTTGAAAGTTGATCAGCTAGATCTGGTAGATTTGGGCAAGATGGTGGGATTACCATTCTTTTTCAGAAGCTTATCCTTCTTCTCATTTTATCTCCTCTGGTGATTCAGATATTAAAACTTAATTCAAATTAATCTCCCAGCAATCTCTGCAAAGAATAAACTCAGCCCTCTGTAGTTCTGCTTGCTTTAAACCAATTTAGAGACCTTATTTGAAAACTTGTCAAAAGTTTTTTGAGC